GAAGTCACAAAGAGAAGCAGCTTCGGAATGACAGAGTTAGAATCCCTTTATGGAAATGCATACCTTAGATTCCTACACATCCTGGCGTGCCATGTCTCTTCCGTGAAATGAAGTTAGGTGTTCCTAATATGAACAACTGCTTTTTTTTTTTTTTTTTTCCTAGGCAGACTAGCTCAGCAGATTCATCTGGTGGGGGAGGTGGGGGTGGTGGTGATCGTTTTGTTATTTCACTGCTCTGGGGCTTTGCTTGGATCAGCCAAAAATGACATGGATAGAAATACTGTCAATCTGGTCCAACTCCAGGAAGCTAATCATGCCTGAATCGCTCGGAGGAGGGTAGCGATGGCAAACAGGAACAGGTATGTTGGCTTCGGTTCTCATCTACCTCGGCCACAGTGTCGCCTTTACAATAAACAGGAGAGGCGTCTCTGAGAGCATCATGTCAGTTGTAAGAGTGTGGAAGCCCCTTGCCCCAGCAAGAAGCATAAAGGTCATGTTTAGTATTCGCTGCACTGAATGCTCCTAGCCAGCTGGTGTATCCCTGTTCAGACTTTCATTTATGCATCTTGGGCTGGAACCTTTTTTTTTGTTCTCCCAGTCTATGACTTTGTCGATTTAAGGGATAACGGCCAAAGTGAAACAGCTTGCAATTTGCACCTGCCGGCTCCAAGCATTGCATGTCACGTTACGTGGAGAGCAAACCCTTTGCTGCTAATGAGAAGAAGGCTGGGGAGGGCTCTGGATGCTGTTCTCTGGGTGGTGGGGAGGGGGAGGTGGAAGGCTTACAGGATATTTTAACGTTTTTGATTCTTTTGTAGCTGATCCCTATTTTCATGTTTTAGAGTCCCCGGAGTAAAACAAAATAGTATTTTTTTAAAAATATGAAGCTGTGTACACTTTGAAGAAATGTTTAAATGTCATGGACAAAAAACTGGATTAATATTCAGCCTGAATGCCTCAGATGGGAAAGAAAAAAATTTAAATGCTAAATTATTTCCAAGTTTTACTAAGCATAACATACCTATTGAGGCCTTTAACTTGTGAAATTGATGACCAAACAAAGTAAATAAAAAGTTTTTAGAAGAGGATCAGAAACAGGACCTGTTTTGCATGTCATGTCAAATGCCTGAATGGACACCCCAAGTTCTCTGCTTAAGTTGCCTTCAAAACTATGTTACTGAGGTCAAAACAAATATTCAAGTACATGACTACAAAATTACAGCTAGAGAGATGTATATTTATCCAACTCACCGTTGTGAATTACAGAATGAGTTCTCCACCTCTGCAAAAATGTCAGCACCTGCAATTCTCTCCTACCTTTTTCCCCCCAAAGTATTCTCTGCATCTGTCTTAGCTTTCATTATTTCAAGGAATTACATCCATGGGTTACCATCTATTTTTAAATAATTTAAATTATTGGCTGGGAATATAGCTCAGTTGGTAGAGTGCTTGCCTTGCATGCACAAGGCCCTGTGTCAATCCTGCATCACACACACACACACACACACACACACACACACAAATTTAAATAAAACTCATTAAAACAAAAGAGGTTTGATCATGACTTATTTCCCCAAACCTTATATATTCAAAACAAAAATTACCGTAGTAACCTTTGACTATTTAAACACGACCTTCCGGAGGAGGATCCAAAATTTAATAAACAAAAATAAAATGAGCAACTACGATGAAAACTGTCTCTTCATGGAAGAATCCATGCTGTGTCTGCATTCCCAAACTCCCCCTGCTTGGCACCTTCTGGTAAAATAATAACTGAGAGGATGACGGGTTCAATGGAGTGGAGGTGGTCGCAACTGTGCTTCACCAGTAATGAGAGTAATTGAATAGAGTTGCTGGCCCACATCTTGCCTGACAGATAACGTTCCAGCTCGCGCAGCGATGACCCTTTCCATGCAGCTTTAGGACTTCTGCCAGCCACTGCGGAGGCTGGTTAGGTCAAAGGGTTGAGCCATGTGTAATTCAGAACAGAGGAGGTCCCACGTTCACTCCGCAAAAACAATTACACTACTTATTTCGCTCTAGCCCTTGCCCAAAACTCACAAGCCTCACAGTTTCAGTGCAGTCAATCTAATTCTGCCCCTGGGCGATAAGCCGCATGAAAATATGTGGTGCTGTGTTTATAAATCTAATCAAAAATAGAAAGAGTGGACAGGCACAGTGAGGTCCTACTATGGATCATGGGAATCCTTGGAAATTCTGAAGGCACTTTTGTTTAACTTCCACAGACTCTCTTGTGCTACCGCGTCCTTGGCCACACTCATTAATCATCCTCTTTACTCGTGAGTGCTACCAAGGAGGCTAAATTTCTACCCACTTCTTACTCTTTCCATCCATGGATAATATTATGAAAAATAAAGCTTAAAGGGCTGCTTTTAAAGGGAAATATCAAAGAGGGGGCTGCGGTGACATCGATCTTACCTCTCTATCCATGTTCTTGGCTCCTTGCCCTTGGCAATGTGCAGATTTAAATCGAGGTCCCCTGAAAAAGAAAAAAAATACACCAGAATAAATTTGCCCCATCGTAAGATCTATGGAGCAATTTGGGGTTGGAGAACTACAATACTGCGTAAGGTCTCGAAAAGTCTAAATACCAAGTCAATGGGATTTAATGTGGTGTCTTCCTTTTACCCGTGTTGCTGTTTTTGTTCAGCCAGACCCTTAAAAAAAAATGGAATCAATAAAGTTTCAAAACCTTTTACAAATGCAACATCTAGGAAATATGCAAACAATTTACATAAACAAAACTTCCTTTCTTAGGCCTCAAAGGTGACAAATTCAGACTGCATCGAAGTTAGGATGACAAGTTGTTACTTCTGGCCGCTGTCCTGTGTTGATCTTTTAAAAATTATGTTCCAGTTTTGAAACTGTCATAAATACATGATATCTGATCACATCAGTGGTAAATATGTGTACTTAGGGGCCAAGGAGATTAAACCCTGCAAACATTTTTGCAGCAAAGATATGGAATCTAAAAATCTTAATGGCAAGAAATGGGTTTTTAAACACTCTTAAAAGTCCTTAGAGTCATGCAATAAATTATCAAGCTCAATCTGCAAGCTATTTCATTTGATATTATTTCAACAGATGGAAATATTGCACTAGAATACAGTCAGGAGATGGATGGTTAGAATAAACAGGAAATTTTTAAAATGCATGATGGTCTTAATGTTTATTAAATTATTATAAACATTCACCAAAGGAGTCTTGTAAATTTGGAATCTCCCCTTTTGAAATGATTATTAGTATTTGGCAGTACAACAAAGCACATCATGTATGAATGGTACGTGTGACACATCTTTTAACTCAGAACTATTAATTATAGTTTTAAAAAGTCACTTCACAAGGTGTGTGACCTCTTACATAGCTATCAGTATTAAAAAATGAAAGAGTCCTTCTAGTGCTAATTTTTTAAGACTTATTTTTATGTAAGAGTAACATGTGAGTCAAAGACTCTGGTAAGTGATTAATTCCAAAATAAGGAAAATACATGTAAAATTATTTAGCCAAAACCAAATTGACATAAAAAAGAGAAAATTTTAGCCAATTTGCTGAAATTTTACTTGCTTGTTTTTTTTTTTTTTTTTTCATAGTATGGTGACTGAGGAGTAATTCAAAAGTATATATTTTGGAAAAGGCATGGAACAGAAATCAGTTTTACTTCCTTGATTTGGTCTGAACAGGACAATTAATATTTGACTTTTGGAAGATTTTTCCATTTTTAAAGTTATTCATGTCATTGTTATCATAAATTCATTTTGCAAACACAGGATCCAAAGCATGTGAGTCAAAAAGCCCACCCAGGTTACCTCGATTAACATCAAGAGCATGCTCAGAAGACTTTCAAATAAGGTAGGTCACTTCCCTTCCTTTAAACATCTTTCTGCAGAAATATTCAGAATGTAATTTCAGTCCAGTAAGACTCAGTATAATTGCAAAAAAAAAAAAAAATCAAAATCAAAATATCTTGTTTTCTCATACAAAATATGTAGCTGAATCTAGAAGTGGCCTGACAGAAATCAGCAGCGCACACTCAAAAGCAGCTGTTATTGAAAAGGGTGTGAAGCTGTGTCTTCCCCTGTCTCAGGAACAGTGGGTGTGGCCCAGGGTGCCTCCCTGCTTGGGAATCTCACTGAGGAAACTTAGATCAGGCAATGTCTACAATAAAGACTCTCAGTCTTCAAGTTTCTGTGAGCTAGAATTTGGGGGTTGTAGTCAGATCCCCAACAATTCAGGGGCATCCATCAGAATAGGGGTAATGAGGAACAAATGACCCACTTTGAGCCAGAGGAAAACCTGTAATCCAAGGCCAGGCTTGAGGGCATAAAGATTTGGGCAGGTGTTGGCTCTAATGAAAAGACAGACATGTGAAGTGTATCCCCAGTGCAAAGCCTGGGAGCTTAATCTGAAGACCCCAAAAGTGAAAAGGGATGATTAAAAGGTAGAAAACGGCCTCTAAGCTAAGAGCTCTGGCAAATTGAATGGAAAAAGTCAATGTGAGGCTGAGATCCAGAGGCCAGAGGAGCCAGATCAGAGGCCCTGGGAAATGGGTGCATAGGTCTTCAGTGAACTTTGAGGAAAGGGTGAATCAAATCAGGAGAGAAATGGGAAAAGACAGATGGAAGAAACGTTAAGGGCAAAGAGTGGCAAGGAGAAATGACCAGTTCATGGGACAATGTACAGTCAACAAGTAACCATTTCAACAGCCACCAACAGCTCTCAACAAATCTATCACTTCACAACTGACCCCAAAAGTGAAAAAGGATGATTAAAATATGGAGCAGGTAAGAAAACATGCATTTGCTAAACTATGCAACCTGCAGTGTCAAGAAAACCCAAACTAGCTTTCTATTTTTGGGGAGGAGTGGAGAGCGGGGCGTGGGAAATAAGTTATAAACAGTATAAATTTTAAAAAATATTAAAAGTTACGGCCTTTTCAGGAACACTGAACTTAATAAACTAATGAGCACCAATACAAAATTCATTGTAACTACAAATTTGGGCCACAGGGTACCATGTCCTTTGGAGTGTGACTGGATGACAATAGGGATCTTTTTTTTTTTTTTTTTCCAAAAGCCAGTCTCAAACTTGCTAGCAGGTGGATAATTGTAATATAACTTGCCATAGCCTGTTGATTCCAGGTTAGTGATAAGCTGCTGATTCGGATTGAAGGCTGATTTTTTTTTTAAATGGCTTTCCCCAAAATTGTTAACCTGTATTGCAGATCAAGCCTTGGGATGGCCACATCTGATGACTGGTTCGCTGCTTCCAAAGAAGGGAATTAGCATGACTACAGCTGTCACTCCCCTGCATTTCTCTTCTCAGGCAGACCAGCAAGGGCAAAGGTGGTGTTAGAGAGAAGTCGCAAGCCACAGTCTGTTTGTCAACATGTTTCGTTTAACCTCCACAGCGATTATTTTTAAAAGTTGAACTAGTATTTAAAAATAAGAAAATTGAAATTTAAAGTAAAAAAATCTAACCACTGGCTCTTTTCGGAAAATGGAGAACTTTGCCAACATGGAGTCACCCCTTCTGTGGCTGACAATGATCGGCTGAGGGTAAGTGGCAGCAGCATGCTTTGTAAGCAATATTCTCCAGGCCAACAGTTCCCACCCTCTCTACTGCAGATCACAAACCAAAATGAAAGGGCTTGTGCTATTCTCTGCTGCATCCTAGGAGCCTAGAAAAGAACCTGGAAAGTAGTGCATGCTTGATGAGTATTTAATGTTGAATGCAATGATCTTGGGACAGATGGAGAACTTTAATGGGCAACTTTAAGACAATAGTGTATGACAGTCACAATGCATAACCCCATTTATATTCTATAGATAGATAGATAAAGATATGTAGAGATATAGATATGCAGGCCAAATGAATTTTCCTAGTCTTAGGCAGAGAGAGAGAGAGAGAGAGAGAGAGAGAGAGAGAGAGAGAGAGAGAGAATACTCACAGATCATTCTGCATGCAGTCCTGTATTTCTTATAAAGAAAGATTTCTCTCTGTTTCTGCTACCATCAAAAGCAGCCTACAAGTGAAAATAAGAGCAAACAGACCCAGTACATTTTATTTCTATTTCTTACCTGGCCCCTTCAGGTATCTGAATTTGAAACTTTGGTGAAAGAGGTGAGGGGAGGCCTGGTACCCACCATAACACAGCTCTCCAACATACTTCTCCCCGATTCTGCCTGGTAGTTCTTTGTACTAACATCTAAATCCTTTTGGAGAGAATGAATTAAAAGAGGAATAAGACAAATAGAAAGTGATCACTAACATGGTCTCACTGTACATAGAACAGCAGTAAGAAATGAACTTGAATATGTGGATAGAAGGTGTTGGTTGAAATCTACCTGTGGGGAAGTCATAATAGTCTCCAATTGCTCTACAGGATAGTTGGAAAAATTTGTAAGTTGTCTATGTCAGACTTCCAGCTCCCACTTAGGGTATAGAATGCTGGAAACTGCATTGGTTTTCAAAGACAGACCAAAAAAATATCCTAAATAGTCTGCATATTCACAACTGCTGTTAAACTCTGGTCAGAGAGCTGATGTCATGGGGAGAACAATTAACCCAAAACCTGGAGAAATTTACATGCCTCCTAGGATTGACAGAATGCAAGCTCCTGCTTATTGGAGCAAATAGATACAAGACCCCTGATAAGCCAGGCAGAATTCAGCCCAAAACTGTTAACATATTTCTAAAGACTGAATATGACTTCTATGGTTTAGATAAATGGCCCCTAAAGGTTTGGTGGACAGCCTGTGGCACCACTGGAAAAGGGAGAAACCTTTAGAATGTGGGACCTTGTGGAAGGAAGTTAGGTCACTGGAGACATGCCCTTGAATGGGGATGTTGGACTCCAGCCCCATCCTCTGTCTCTTTGCCTCCAAGCCCCAGCTTCTGTGAGTTGGGAAGTTTCCTCCAACATATACTCCTGCCATAACATATTCTCTTGTTGCAGGCCCAAAGCAATAGGGCCAGTCAGCCATGGATGGAAACTTCTAAAACCATTTCTCCTTTTAAGCGAATTCTCTCAGGTGTTTTGTCACAGTGAAACAAAACACAGTGATCTGAGTGGAGACCTTATGGCCTCTTCCAACACAAGGGGAATGTGCCCAACTGTGTGCACAGGCTCTTATCCGTGGACCTCCAAAGTGCCCAGAAAAAAAGAGAGTCAGGGAGTAGTTCTAAACAAGGAGCAACTTTGCCTCCAACTCTGATAATGTCTGGAGACTTTTTTGATTGTCATAACTGGGGGACATTACTAATATGCAGTAGATTGAGGTAAAGAACAAAAGTCTTAATTTTCTGATCAAAGAGCAGGAATCTCTGTTGCCTCCAAACTCAGATTAAGACTCATCACAGTGGGGAGAAGAGGACACAAAAATAAACACTAGCCATGGAGTAGGGACAAGCAAGCAAACTGACCCAAATTATTAGAGGCCCCCTACCTAAGACAGAAGCACAGATAAATAGAGATGGCCT